ACACACACACACACACACACACACACACACACACACACACACACACACACACACACACACAAATAAATGGCAGAAATACTCAAACCAAGTTAAATACAAAGGTTTCTCTCTGAGAGCGCAAACACCAACAACTGCATCTCCTATTAGGTTCATAGTCATCTCTGTATGACCTTCCCCTCATTTCCAAAGCTGCGTTTCCTTTGAAGGAAGCCACAAAGGCTYGCTCCCAGAGCCCCAGCGTGTGATTGGCACCGGGACAGGCAGGCCAGATAATTGTTTAAATCGTCCCATTGAGGATGCCTCTGCGCGCTTTGATCGATATCCCATTACTGCTTCCTGCATATCTCCCTCCAGCACCTTGCAGGTACAAACCTCACACCCCATCCATGTCTGATCCTAAATATTGTTCGATTAAAACTTCCCTTTAAATAGATGACATTTATCGATCCGCCCGCAAATATGAAACTCCATTAGCACGTCACGGCTGAGGCGCTGAAGCTGGATTTAGACGGGATTTCTTTCCGCAACATGACATTTGGAGCTCTGTGCGCTTTATAAATTATTTAAGGATTAGTGACCAAAGTCTTCCTCCTCCTCCTCCTCTCAGGGCTTTCTCGCCGCTCCACCGACCTCGGGGTCCCAATCAAACATTTTACAGATATAATCAGCTGTTCTTCTATTAGTTTTTTTTAAATTGCTCTTCAGACTGGAGAAAGATAAACATCCGTGCACAATGAAGACACATTTCTCCAGCAGGTGACAGGATGGGGCAGGTTGTCAGGAGCTGTCCTTCAGCACCAAGGCCAAGTTAGCACAAAGGAGGCTGTTTTTTGTCTCAAATAAAGACAGATCTTATTATAAATTAAGCTTTTCTTTTAGAAATGTTTAGTTAAACTTTTAAAAATGTACTTTTAAATATTCCACATTTTGATTTAGTCAATTTTACGCAAATAAAACGGTATTGCTATCCTTCCAAATAATCATAATAGTCGTAGTTTTTGCATTAAATGCCATGTTTTGACAACTCTCTATCATTTATTTGCAGGTGAGGATTCAGGAGATGAAGACTGCAGGGATCCCCCCGTTCCTGACCCCATTCTTCTCTCCCCGCACTCCAACAAGGAGCCCTCAGCCGAGCCACATGACGGAAASAAGACGACAGAGGCCCCCCCTCAGGAGCCATCGCCGCACAAGCGGCGGCGTCCGGACCAGGCGTGCGCCAAACCGCGGCGCGCCAGAACCGCGTTCACGTACGAGCAGCTGGTGGCCCTGGAGAACAAGTTCCGCGCAACTCGCTACCTGTCCGTGTGCGAGAGACTGAACCTGGCTCTGTCTCTGAGTCTGACGGAAACGCAGGTGAAGATCTGGTTCCAGAACAGGAGGACCAAGTGGAAAAAGCAGAACCCCGGGGCGGACAGCACCTTGCAGCCCGGCTCCAACTCCCTGGTCAGTCCGAACCCGGCGACCTGTGGCTCCGGCTCCGGCAGCTTCCATCAAAGTTTCTCCAACTTCAGCTCCGGGAGTGTGATCTTCCACACAGGGGGTGGAGTTCCACTTTCATCCACTGGAGGGCTCCTTCATCCTTTCATGCCCAGTGGATTCGTACAGCCGACTTATTTTAACTCACACCATCTATAAAAAAAAAAGACTGAGATTTTTATATTCCATCACAAAATAATAATTCTCACTCTAGAGCATGTTATTCCCAGAATATATTTCATGTTTTTTATATATTTTTTCTTATACTCAATACATGTTTTAATTTAAATGGTGCACAACAACATGAAAATGAAAAATAAAATAAGTAACCTATTTAACAAAAACAGTTAATTCTGTCAAAGACCCTCTGTCTTTGTAATTTAATAACTCGTTTTACATTTCAGACTGCTACCTCTAAATTTCTCACATGTTGTGCATCTTGTTTTGGTTGTTGTTGCCATCATAATAAATGTAACTTAATGAAAAGTATGTTTCTGCGTGTCGTGGTTCTCTACAAAGTTTTCGATGCAGGATGATTTTTCAAAATTCCCTCACCGACGTATCCAGCTCCTTCTTCCCGTGCTGCCTCCACATGAGGTCACAGGGCACCACAAATATGCAGCAGCATTAAGAATCAGATCGCCCACATCCTTTACTGTATATCAGTGGTTCACAGCCTATTTTTGTCCAAGCCCCCATTTATTACTTCCAAGTCAAGCTGTAGACCCCCGCCCCAATCCCTCGCTACTACCAACCTCTCCAGATGCATTCAACCTTTATCTAAGTGAATAGTTATAAACTTTTATCTGCAATAGGAAAAAAGAAGAACATATACAGAGATTTAATTGTTCAAATGGGCTTATTTTGGTGATTTTTACAAAGATCAAATTTACATTTTCACAACCTTTGAGYAGACAAAGTTATGCCTCCCACAGAAATCAGACATTGTGAGTATTATAATGAAGAACAATTTAATTATAATAAAATGKTAAATGGAGGTCTGCCTGTTATTCATTTTAATAGCAGAAGTTTGAATGCAAATTTAATTAAAATAACAGACTACTTAAAATAGTTAAACAGAAGGTTCAGTATGGGGTTTCAGAAACATGGCTTAATAATGAAAATATAAAAAGTGTTCAAATAGAAGGATATGAACTATACTACATGAATAGATGTAATAAAAGAGGTGGGGAGTTGCACTGTTTGTAAATACTGAAATAAAATGTAAAAGCTGTTGATGATTAAMTGGAAATAATCACCATTGAAGTATTGAATGAGAAAAAAAATATAAAAATCATCTGTGTCTCATTCACCAGGCTCAAATGTTGAACTATTTTCTGACCAAATCACAGAGCTCTTTAAAATGAATAATAATAAAACAGTTTTTGTGTGTGGTTATTTCAACATTGACTTGGGAAATCAAACTGACTCCAATTGTATGTCTATTAATACAAAGTATAGAATGGGTCTTTGTCCACTAATATCAAAACCAACAAGAATCACAACACTTACTGCTGCAATAATTGATAATAAAAATGACAAAAGAAAAAGAATAAAAAACAATAATTGATAACATATTTACTAATGCAAGAAATGGAGAAGTGTTGAGTGGACTTTTGACAACTGATGTAAGTGATCATTTACCAGTTTTCACAGTTCATAAAAATTATCAGTGCAGTAGAACTGTAGCTGTAACAAATAAAAAAAAAGTTTAACACATCAAAAAAAAAAAGAAAAAAAAAGAAAAAGCTTTGGATAAACTGAGAGAGGACTTAAAAAAGCAAAACTGGAAGGATGTATGTTAATGATGTTAACAGAGCATTTCTTCCTGATTAGCAAGGAGGTTTTCCTCTCCACCGTTTGCTCAGGATGGGAGACTGTGATGAAGTGATTCAACGCAGCCTGCTGGTTTCTTCTTTAGATTATTCTTTTTATGTACAGTGCCCTGAGACAACGTATGTTGTGACTTAGCGCTATAAAAATAAATAAACTTGAACTTGAACTTGATATGATGTGTTTATGAATATGTTGTGAGTTCTGTATGAAAAACATTGTATGTAAAATAATTTTGCCAAGAAAGATGATGTTGACAAGTCATGGATGACTAAAGGGTTAAGAAATGCCTGTAAAAAAGAATGACTTGTATTAACCTTTCTTGAAATTAAGAACAAAAGAAGCAGAAGACAGGTACAAGAAATATAAAAATAAATTGGTATGGATTATAACATAAGAAGGAATATTACAGTGACGTAATAAGAAAAAGCAATGGTGGTACAAAAGTAACATGGGGATTAATGTATAGTGTTATAGTATAGTATGAATAGTGTGAATAGTTTTTTTTGTTTGTTTGTTTGTTTTCTGTTGAAGCAGCGGCGCCCCCTCCAGCAGATGGCGCTCTAGGTTCTTTTCTGCCTACAGCTGCCTCTGGGTGTATATGGCAACAAAAGAAGAAGATCAAGACAAATGGTAAATCCATATAGAATGAGGATCTGGMTTGGACACGATTGAAACTATTATTTATTGACATAAACACAGATAAGAATTATGATATAGTGAAGGGTGTAGTAGACTATAATGCTGTTTTCCAGAAAATAATAACTGTGAATATTATACACTGAAAGAGTTTGATAATGAGGTGGGCCCTTTGATAGACAGAACATTAACTATTATTTATTTCAATAGTTGCAGTTTAAATTGTTAGTGTAGTGGCAGTGACAGAAACTTGGTTGAAGGACAGTGAAATAAATAAATTACAGATGGACGGTTGAAAAAATGAGGTAGTGATGTATATATCTGCTGCTGCTGTGACACCTGAATTTCCCCACCGCAGGACAATAAAGGCTGTTTCTATTCTATTCTATTCTATTCTATTCTATTCTATTCTATTCTATTCTATTCTATTCTATTCTATTCTTAAAAACCTTTAAAAAGTGAATTTTGCATAATAGGTCCCCTTTAAGAGACTTAGTTGAGTTGTTTAGCTCCTCCATTATTTTACTGGTTTGCTTCGTCCTGCCATACAAAACATGACGTTGACCCACTACCTGTAAGCAAATCAGGTTCTGGGTGCAGGTCAGCTGTGCCCAGAGACTCCCTGTTCTTTTGCATTGAGGACCTACTACACMTGCCCATGAGTTCACATTAAGCTTCAGTGGTAAAGATTTCTGTGTCCTGGAGTGAACCGGAAGTGACTCAACGTGACGATGCTCATGAATAAAATGTAAGTTCATTCATTAATAACATTAATAACTCTAAAATATTTATGTTACACATCTAAAACATGTATAGATATTTCTACTAAACATTAAATTTTGTTATTTTATTTTTATATTTTTTGTGTCCCAAAAAATAGTGGTGGAGCGGCACCTATCTGCCACTGCTTGGCATCTTCAGGAAATTTCAGAAAAATGTTACCGTGCTCACATTAGCTTCAGTATGTGACAAAGTAATTTTCTGATTACTTTGATTTGAATTTTATTTTGATAACCTCCCCATCACCCAGCTAGCTCCATCTTTGACAGAACTGATCAACTCCACCAACCAGCTCACCACACACTAACTCCTCTGAAGAAATGAAAATAATCCTATAGTGTTACCAGTAATAGTTTAATAATATTGTTTCAGTTCCTGTTCTATAATCATATTGATACTGACTATATATTCTAGTTAATGTTTCTTAATTTCTTGTTCTGTCCTGAAATAGAGAAGATTAAATTCTAAACTAATGGTGTAAAACAAATGTAAAATGAACAGACCTGCATTAAATAACTTCTTAAATGTTATGATGTAAAAAGTCCTGTTGGTCAAACGTAGATTTATCTCGGATTTTGGAGGACATAAAATGACACATCTTGTTACCTTTGTGATATTATAACATGCTTCAGCAGGTCGTTGAAGTCAGCTTCATGTGGTTTGACTAAAAATATCATATAATTACGCATCTTCACCATAACATTTATCTTTGCTCACAAAATATCTTCTTATTTGTTGCTGTCTCTGATGAAGTAACTTGTCTTATAATAATGTCAGTCTTGCAGAACAAAAATAAAACGTGTTAGTGGAAAACAGCACTAAAATTATAAACTTTGCTGAACATAAGAAAAGCTGAATTAAACAAACTGAAAAACAAATAGAACTGTTTAAACTTGTCATCCCCCATTGTGATCACAATGAGCTAGCTGCAGTTAACAACTAGCTAGTTAATACTGGCTACAAAATATCAGATTGTGGTACAGAGCAGTCAGCTAATGCTGCACTGTGGCAAAAATTATTGTATTTTCATCAACTTAAGAGAGAAAAAAACTTCGGAAACACCGAGATTGAAACACATTCAAAGCTGGCACTGCTGCTGTTTGGAACTATTTGCAGATCCAACGGAGTGTCGCAACATCAATCTGTCCACACACAGACCATTTCCGGGTCGCGTAAAGCAGACAAATTAAATATTAAAATCAAATTCTGTCCAGGTCGGTCATGAGACACGCTTTGTGTTTGAATTTTAATTTCAGTATTTTGAAACAAAAATCAAATATCCCCTCAATTCTTGTTTTTTAATACCCGTTTCTAAAATGAAAAACCAATGACCAAAAGATACACTGACCCGGGTCAAGTGCCCGTTTTTCTATTTTGTGTTTTTGATCTGAGCATAAAAACTAAATATGAAAAAACCGGCGTTTTTTTGTTTTTGTTTTTAAAAAATGAAACGAAAAACAAAATAACCAGTCACTTTTTCATTATTTGATTTTTGATTGGCAATTAAAAATAGAAAGAATGAATGATACCCTGATTAAAAAGACAGAACACTGTTGAGCAAGCATGTGTGTGATTTGAATGTGCATACTTCAAAAAATTGTTTGTTCTTAGCGATATACTCTCAAATCAGTGTTACATGCGCTCATCCTTGTGGCACAAATGTGAAGCCATAGCTTCCCAAAATTAAATAGATTTTTCTCGCTTCTATCCAAACCTGGACAGTATCAGGCTGTCACTGAGGCACTGATGACAGTGCAGCGGCGTTTCACTCAATTCTGTAAAAATAAAATGCTTTGCAACAGTTCAGTGTGCCCAGCATCCTCATAAATACACATTTTGTATTCTCCCATCAGATGTCTTTATTTCTCACTGGTGTAACGTCAACCCTTTGCTTCAGTGGTATTTTTCTGGAATGCAGCAGCTGAGGAATTTGACAGTTTTGATCAATCCGCTCGGAAATCCAGCACAAGAAACCCGTCCTATGTTTTGGCTCCAGGGCAACTGTTACGTGACTACGTGATGAATAATTTTGCAACATATTTGAGGAGGTCCTTCAGGTCTTGGCGAAGGGAGCGCTTGTTTAAGATTCATGCTGCATGCGGAGACTGTGCAGGGACAAGGTCAGTGATGGGGCTGCTGTGCATGTGTGTGCACATATCCAGGAGGATTTGGAGATAGTTCCATTTATGRCTTCTGCTCTCCATATTTGACCTTTGCAGAGAAACAAATTGGAGGCTTGAAAATAAACAAATAAATAAATAAAAGGGGCTGAGGATTTTCTAGTATGTG